CAAAAAAACAAATGAATTAAACTCAAATGTTCTTTGACGTGCAATGACCACACCATGTGGTTGATGTTTTATCATTGTATTATGTCACTATTACTGCAATAGTCTAAAACCAGAAGTACCATGTTCAAAATGTCGTATCACTCAGTTGCTCCTTTTTTATTGTCTGGTTTCATACGTTTTAAAAGATCAGTGAACAGTGAGACCAGTCATGAATGGAACAGTGATATATTGACTTATTATGTAGCAGGAATGGAACAAATGATCATTTCATAGGCCTATTTAGATTTACATGTCAAATAATATTTCCCTTTTTTGCGTCATTTGACTTATTTTCGGTAACAATAGCATCACGTCTGACATGGGGCTGATAGTGAGACTTCAGACAGCTGCCAGGTGTTTGGTCAGAGGCCAGACAGCCAGACACCGGCGGCTGTCCGCTGATAACGCACAGAGGGATGGTAAATGTCTCTCTTTGGCTCAGGCCTGCAGCTGAGATGTTGAAATGTACTTGAGGTTAGCAGAGAGAGCTTTAAGACAAGTACCAGACGTCTATCATGAAACGTTTCCAGGGATGAAAACTGCCTCAAGTCTTGTCCTCTACAGACCTTTCCCTCATTCTCCAACAGATGGAACCTGAAAAAGCTTCGCAGAGGCATGTCGGACAAGTTAAATTAAATCAGGTTAAAATGAAAAACATCTGCCAAAGATTTATGCAGTTAAATTGGCTTACTGAAGACGAGCTCAGGGATCGAATCCACATTTATGACACAGGTTCATGATGTTTGTGAAAAAACAATGGCCAGCTGGAATCAGGTTTCCCTTTAACATTTCAGACATTTTTTTTAAACGTTGGCTGACTATAAACAGGCTGATCCAAAGTACTTTCCTGCTATTTTTTCACAAATCCCCAAAACACAGCAGACACTAGGCTAAATGAATGATAGTTGAAATATATATATTTTTAAATCACATTTAGCTTTGCCAGCATATCTAGTAAAAATGTCTCATATTCATTTTTAAAAGTCTCTAATGCCTTACTTTTAAAAGCTGAAATGTCATCTAATAGTAATCATATTCTACTGGAGCTTTTACCGACAGTGACAATATACAACTGATGATTTAATCAGATGATATTTCTGGGAGGAACACTCCCCCTAACGATTAAAATAGCCTTTTCACTGTGCAATTTTTGAGGACCCTCCCCTTTGCCTGTGACCACAAAACCATCTCACCTCTGCTGAAGATTTTGCTTCAAGGTCTTGACTTGTCATCATCATCATCATCAGCATCATTCTGAGGGAGATCAGTCTGCAACAGTCGTATTGATCCACAGGAGGAAAGTTTGTTTCTTTAGGAACAGAGCTTTGTTCCGAGGTGTGTCCGGCTCTGAAGCTCTGATGATGGGAGTGTGTGTCAGAGCAGCAGCTCTGGCTGTGGTGCTGCAGCAGCTGGTTCTCACTGTCACAGCTCAAGGAATGGGTAAGTACCGGCTCCTCACCATCCATGCAGTTCTGGAAATTTTCAACCAGCATATTTCTGTGTGCTGTATATGTTAGACTTCTATACAACGCTGTTTTAGTCACCGTCTTTTCTGTTTACATATTCTTAGCAATGTTTTGTGAAAGCAAGCTCAAATAAAAAGGGTTACTGCTGCTTTGGTTGGCATTCATTTGGCTTTTTTTTGCAGCTTGCAGAGTTTCATGTACAAGATCTAGCAACAGTCTGACCTAAATAAAATGGTGAAACAACGCTAACAACCATCTGAGAAGTGCATCTGCAACACTTTAATTTGCCTGGAATGGACACGCAAATTTTTCCATAAAATTTCCTGTCACTGTGTGTTACTCTTGTGTTCAGCTAATGGCTGTGTGAAAGTGTTTTTGTGTGTCCATGCATACGAGTGTGAGGCAGCGGGTTTGTTCCAGTGGAAAGAGTTTACTGCTGCTCCTCTCTGCAACTTCAGTCTGCCACTCTATAAAACACAGCAGGATGCAAAAAGTGGCGTTCACTCATACGCACACGGGTGTACAAACACCACACATACACAAATATACAGATACACGGTCACACTTCATAAAGTAACGTAGTGCACTGACTCAGCGGTAGCAATCCACCAGCCACAGTCGTTAAGACACACACTCAAATTACTGGCAAAAAAAGAAATCCAGCACCAATTACAGTGCACCAGGTGGAGCGCTTCCAGTTGGTGTGCTGAATATTTCCTCCTTGGTCCCACTGACTAACCATTAGACTATACATTTCCCTTGTTTTTGTGTTAAATTACACCTTTTCTCTTCACTTTTTTGCTCATTATTGTGGTGCATCTACAGCAGTATAAGGCAGGTTACTAACAGTCCTCTCCTGTGCTAGTCTACGACCTGCTGGTGTCTCCAGACTGCCTTCCAGACCTGCTCCAAGGAAGCTTGAAGAAAAACGGGCGGGATGAAGCTTTCCTCCTCACGTCCTTCAGGCTCCAAAACAAAGCTCCCACCTCTCTGTTCAGTGTCATCAACCCCAAAGACAACACCAAGTACCTGGAGCTCAGCGTGCAGGCCAAACTGAGCAAAGGTGGATTGTTATACTGTGACAAATACCCACTACATTATTAGCTCTCTGTTAACTTGTTTTTCACTGCTTTTTCTTCTCCCCATCTGCAGTGACTGTTCGTTACCAGAAGACTGACGGCAGATTTGGTACAACCAGTTTCAACCACGCATCCCTGGCAGACGGGCGAGACCACCATGTGATGCTACATGCCAGCGGCCTACAGCGCGGCCCGCATCGCCTCAACATCTATGTGGACTGCAGACTGGCTCACACTTTGGATGATCTGCCGGCTGCGTTTGGCTCAGTGCCTCCTGGTCCCAACAAGGTGGCACTCAGGACTCTGCAGTCGAGCGGACAGGTGACTAACAATGTAATAAATATGCTGCACAGAGACAAGAACAGTGAAGTGTCAACATTGCATAGTAGATATTAATGTTTGAGCAACTGCATTGTCTTTGTATCTTGTATTCCTTTGTCAGGATAAACTGACAGACTTGAAGCTGGTGATCGAGGACACCATAGACAATGTGGCCACTCTGCAGGACTGTAGTACAGATCAGACTGATTCTGTGCAGCTGCTGGGTGAGAACAAAATACAACTGGCTTTCTGAATCACATCACAAACACGGGATATCATTTCAACCCACTCCTGGAAGATTTTTCATGTGTGTGTTTCATTTGTGAAATCCACTCAGGTATCCAGGGAGGCAGGATG